GGTGGTGATAAGTGCTGTGACTTAAAGCTGGGGAGTGTGGTTGTGACTGGGGGGGAAGTAGGGCCACTTGAGTTAGGGCACTCTTGGGAAGGCGTCTGTGGGAAGGTGAGGTCTGACTGAAGACTCGAAGGTAGGGAAGAAGGGAGCCATGCAAAGATCTTGCGGGAGAGCATCCGAGACTGCATATACAGAGATCCTGAGGTAGGAACAGGTTTGGTGTGTTCCACGGACAGCAAGGACAGTGGGGTGGAGTGTGTGAAGAGGGTGGGGAAAGTCACAAGATGAGGTTGGAGCAGTGGGCCACGGGAGGAGTCTGACATTTGTCCTAAGTGTGATGGGGGCATATCTTAAGCTGCAGGCTTGTGGGAACTTGGGCTTTCAAAGGCCCCGATGGAGTCTGGAGTGGCTACGGCGAGACGGGGTTTGATGAGGCGGAAAAGGCAGAGAGAGAAGCCACATCACGATTTCTCCATCAGTGCAGCCAGCACACCTCACCTATGCCTATCAGACGGGCTCCCTTCCCCAGCTAGCTCCCATGCGCATGTCCTGAGCACCTCTAAGCACCTACTCGGTGCCCGGCCTTGTGCTAGGTGCTTCCATGACTGCTATCACATTGAACTCTCAGGAGCAGCCTGGGAGAGATCATTATCCCCATTTTACAGATTTCAAAACTGAGGCGTGAGAAGGTTGAAGCCATTTGCCTGGGCCACGTGGCTGGTTGGGGCAGAGCTGGAATATGAATCTAAGTTTCCCAATCCATTCTATCACCTCCAACCTTCTCTTTCACCTCCCTATGAATACCGGGTTCTTGAAGATGCAGACGTGTAGGAAATTCCTGTGGGTGGGAAGGTGGGTCTTCTGGATGGTTCCTAAGCCAGGCAGGTGTGGGACTGGGGCAGGGGAATGTGCTATAGGACAAGTCCCCTCTGTTAATCCTGCTTCCCTTCATGGTGGGAGAAGGGGTCTTCTGCGGGTTGAACACAAAAGTTAATCAAGTTTCCCTCTGCCTTGATTGGCGGTTTATTCTCCCAAACCATCTGGCCCAGATTTCTGAAAAGTCCTTTGTGTTCATCTCATGAACTGCAGGGGCTGTGCGTTCCTCCCCAGCATGCTGGGCAGATGGGCAGATGCCAGTGGACTCTGGGAGACGGTCTTAGCCATGCGTTTGGGACAGATGGATCCGAATTTAAACTCCAGCCCTGCCACCCACCAGCTGTGTGGCCTTGAACAAGTGCCTTCACTTCTTCGAGCCTCAGTTTCCATGTCTGTTAACTGGGCACAGGATCATAGAGGCCTTGTTCAATCCCATGAAGGGCAGAAAAAATCAAATCAAACAAAAGCCCTGCCTGACTGTACAAGGCTGAGAAAATGCAATGAAATGTGTCCAGGACAATGAGGTCCCTTGAGAACCATCACCAAGGGATCTGGCTTGGTGGACTGAGAGGCAGTTTGGTGGAACAGAAGCTCTGCCACTTAATAACTATGTAATCTTGGGCTCTTGGTGCCTTGGTTTCCTCATCTTTAAAATAGGAATAATGACACCTACCAACCATCGTCGCACTGATAATTCTATGTATGTAAAGTGCTTAGAATAGTACCTGGTGCATAGTAAGTACTCAGTAAATGCTGGCTGTTTTTATTTGCGTGTATATTTAATAAGGACTGATAAAGGCTGCAGAGGAGGGTGAGACTTTGGCCTCTGATAGACATGGGGTTCGAATCCAGACCTGCCTGTGGACAAGCTGTGTGACCTTGGGTGAACTACTTAACCTCTCTGAGCTTCAATTTCCTCCTCTGTGCAATGGGGATGAAAATGAAGCCTACTATCTGTCTGTAGCTGTAGCTTTGTGACAGCTGGTTCCTGGTGAATGCTGAAAACTGACAGCCGCTATTATCATCATCTCCCTTCTCCAGAGCCCCCTCCGGGTCCAGGTGTTCACTGCCTACCTCGTTCTTCCTCCTTCTCCCGGACGACCCTCCCCTTGAGGGCGCGGCTCCAGGCTCCACCGTAGTCGCCCAGCTTGGCTCTCTCGTTGCCATCTTTGCCTTTGAACCAGGGTCCGTACCTGCGGGCGATGCTTGAGACTTCGCCTGCGTCCCGGGAGCCTCCGCCCAGATGCGAGTCGCCCAGTAAGGGCAGCCCAGCGCCCTCGGCCGGGCCCCCTGCGGCGGGGTTGGCCTGATTCTGGGAGACGGCGGGCTGGCCCACGAAGCCAGAGTGCAGGAAGACGAGGCTCCCGGCTGTCAGGTAGAGTGCCAGGAAGGTAAAGCAGCGCACAGGTTTCCGGCGGAAGTACCGCTGGAATTTGAACCAGAGCTTGGCCATAGCGGGATCATTCCGGACTGGCTCGCTGGGGCTTGGCTGGGGGGCTCAGGAGGGGGTGGAGAGAGCTTGGTTTCCCAAGCTTCTCTTAGGGATGGAACCCCGGGGGGTCCTCAGTCTTATTCCCTCTGCAAAGGTGATTGCCAAGGCCAGAGTCCCGCAAGTCCAGCGCTTGGCTGAGGCCGAGATAAAAAAGGACGGCGCTTACCGGCCCTCCAAAAGTCAAGGTGAGCTTCTTTGGGCCAAAAAGGGGGTTTTGAGGCTCAGGACACCCACGAGTTTGTCCCATTTCCTACATCTTGCTCTTCACTGCAGAGAGTTCCCAAAGAACTTTGAAAATAGCAATTGGAGGAGAATTCTGGGGGTCACCAGCAACT